ATTAATCTACTCTATGTTTAACCTAGTTTTTATTGGTTTTAACGGCTTCCAAATTGGACATATAGTTTGACGGGAAATTTGCAATGAACAGGGGTCGTCGCCACTGCAGTTTCTGATTTTTCAGAACTGGTGGACTGATGAACCATTTCTGAAACTTCATTCCTCTTAGATTTAATGTTTTTATATTTCTGAATCCAGTATTTCTAAACTTCAAACAGATGGCATTTTAAATAAAACTAATGACAATTTGGTTATACCTAGTTCAAAGTTCTAGGACTTAGGAACCTGAGTAAAGTAGGACTTAGAATTATGCATCTATCTTCAACTTAATGACTAAAATACTCCAAGAAAACCTCTATTAAGGAACCTTCAAAGTGCAGATTACTTAGGGGATAATCCGGTGGGTTCAAAGGATGTTTTGGAGGACGTTTTGGAGCGATATCAGGATGAGCCAGGTAGGCATTTCCAATTCCATTGTTTATGGATTATATTATCATTGCTCTTTATGTGCCACTTAAATTACCCTCTTATGGTGTTTCTCGGTTGGGTACTTTACCGCATCGAGAAATGTCATATATGCATGTAACTTGCTTTATGGTTGTCAAGAGTATATTTGCGCATGATTTTCATGAAATTGAAAAGACTTGGATGTGTACTTTATCACAGCAGTCTTGGGGCCCCACTACCATAGATTGAATTCAACGAGTCGGCAAAGGGCATCGGCGTATGGACAACACTATGGATAGCTCGAGTAGGCGTGCACGAGCTACGAGTACTTGTTTGTGGTTCCTCCGAGTGATAGAAAATGAATTGTTTGCTGATTGGAAGAATGGATCCTTCGTTAGAGTCTGGTTTGGAAATCAACCAATAAGGTCACATAGGCCCTTGGCGATTCTAACCCATGGCCCTCGTGTATCCTCAATCTATTGTGCTTGATGGTTCTAGTTGTAACCATCTTTAATTTTCTAAAGAATGATTTAACTTGTGTTAATGGACTGTTGAATTACTTGATTGCTCTTGTTTTAAGGTATACTTAAATGTTTCATGTAGTTTTGAATAAATGCTTTCAATGGATTTAAATGTCACTAGATTGTTGTGATAATGTAATCGAATTGGAACCCTATTAGGCGTAAGCTCACCCCTTTAATATTTTCCCTACAATTCCATCAGAGGAGGAACTTGGTTACTGGGGCTATAAGTCATGATTTGGGATTTGGCTCGGGATATTTTGTGTTGTACATAAAATCACAACCAACTTGCACTCTTTTCTTTTGTAAACATATGTAAACTAGAGTCTTTTAGTGTTTAGTTTTGGGGTTATATGTTTGATGTTAGCAATCACTTTTTATTGAATGCGATTGTGTGTAGTTTAAACATCTTGGCTCGTGGTTTACATATGTAAATTTTAAAATGCTAGTGCAGGTAGTTAGTGATGGAAGGAGTGCTTTGTTAGCTTTCTTTTGTTTTGAACCAAGTGTTTTGACTTGGTGATGTAAATGTAACATTGTGTATGTGTATATATGAAAAAGCAGTCGATGCTTTAGCCTTTGTGAGTTTGAGATCAGGTTTTTCATTTTCTTTAAAAAAAAATTTGAGTCATAGAGCGAACTAGGCAGGCGCTCGACTTTATTACTCATATTAAATAGAGGGTAAAGTTGGGGCCTCACAGTATAGGGAGGGAAGCACGATGGTCTCCTCAGGGAATGTCGAATTTCTCTCTTTTAAATTAAGTAACAAAATGAGGGTTTTGAGTTTTTAAACTAAATTACAATCAAAACAAAATGTAGACGATAGTTGAAAAGGATGGAGACAAAATATGAGAAAAGTTCTAGTTGAAAGGTTTTATATCCACCTTGGTCTCAACAATTGATCATAGATGCAATGATTCTCAATCACTTGTAAGCAAATTAGTTTTCATTGTTAGAACCTCCTATCAACTCAATCCTGAACTAAGTTTAGTGATCAAGAAAACCTTCATTAACAACACTAATCGTAATTAAATCTTTGAACCTCCTAAACATTAGAAAACGACTGCATTACGCACAAAGATTTAATCATGATTCCAAAGAAACAAACCTTGTTTGATAGAAAATCATATTACTTGTTTTTATAACAAAAAAATCACTTACCAAGTTATTTAATTATATTAGTCCCTTTAAAAATAACAAACCTTGTTACCTTATTGGTTATAAACTATCATGAAATAATGGATGCTATCAGCTATTCATGAAACCAAAATAATCTTAACAATCATTCAAATTAACATGCAAATACTCAGAAAGAATTAAGACATGATCAACATTTAAATCTCACAACTATTAAAAATCAAGGTTTCAATATCCTTCAACTAGAAAAATAATTTAATTACACATAATAATGTCTTACTGAAATGAAACTATGAAGAATGAGGAAGTAATACGCCCAAAAGGGCTAGATTTGGGTCTTGGAACTCCTCTGACCTCCTCCTTTTCTTCTCATGTTCAGCGCCACCCCCAAAATAGAAAAGAATAAATTCTATTTATACGGGAGAATTAGGTCAACCGCAGGGGACGAAGGAAAGAATCACAAATTTTTCAGAATGGTCCCTCAAGTTTTGAATATTTATAATTTGGCTCCAAGACTTTTTTAATTTTGCAATTTACTCTTTTTTTTGGTTTAATCAAACGAAAACACATTATCACTGTTGGAATTTATTCTCCAATGCTCAATTTTGGACTGAGAATTGTGTGCACACGCGAGAATGCAATGTCAAGGCTTCATCCTTGTGCGTCCTTGTCAAAATGCTCCAAAGATATACGTTTATGCATCCTTTTACTCCATTCATCTCCCAGCACTCCTAGGATTCAAAAACATCATAATCACAATATAGTCCAAATACTGCACAAATACTCATAAATAACATGACAATTCAAGACCTATCAAAAATCCATATTAAATTTTGACAAATTTCAAAATCTTAGAGGTAATGATTTTGCTAAAACAGTTATTAGCATCCGGTACAAATTTTGTCTTAGTATCCAAATTTGCCCCTTAAGTCAAACCTATTACTCTTTCGTCTCTTTTAATCCAATCCTATATTTTCTCCTTTCTCTCTCTTACTGCTCCCGCGGCTCTCTCTATTCGACGAATAGTGGCCGTCACGAGTTCCTTTGCAATTAATTACTACATGCAATTTTTTCTTTTGCCTTCTTCCAAAAGAATACACTTTTTGCGAGAAATTGACAAGGTAAGTCGTTTTCGGAATTTGACCAAGTCTCAAGCGATGGTTGGAATTTACTGATAATCCGTTAATCAATTATGGTGGTATGTTTTACTTCGATTGAGTTTTTTGTGTATATATATCAAATAGTAATGTGAAGGAGGATGGGAAATTGTATTTGAAGTTAGATATGCATAAATGATCTGAGGCATGAATGCTTCATGGCAGAGATGCGAAACTTAATAAATGTTTTCTTTGGCTATGAATTGCAATTGTTGATTCATAGGGTTTTTCAAGGGAAAATTGACTTCTTCTTTTAATATTATATTTGCGCATTTTTTTAGTTTGCAAGAAGCAATCCGATGAAGAAGTGGAATACTGCAATGCTGCAAAAATAACTGGAATATAGAAAAAGAAAGATGATCGAAATGGTCTAAGTTTATAGTCTTGGAATTGCAATACTTATTATTGTTTAGAGAATTGTGTTGTATCTCCTCCCTTTTTAACTGTATTGAAAAGGATTGACGCCGGCATCTTCTGGCCAGATAGAGAGCGGAGAGCGGCAGGAGAAAGAGAGATGAGGTGAAATTAATCTGGTGAGAGGATGAATGGATAATATTCCTTTGACTCCATGAGGGTCAAATTCGGAAACTAAAGCAAAGTTTGCCCTGGATCCTGATGTGTGTCCTGTCAAAATAACCACCCAAAACTTATGGGCAATAACAAACAAGACCTGCATATCTGCTCTTTAAAAACCAGCCAAGTGGCCAAGCAAATCATTCTGTACATTTGTCTGGGGCAATTTGCTACTGCTTGGCAAATTATATACGGCAAATAAACTCGCCCCTCTTTCAACCCTTTGTCGGAGATTCAATAGGAACAACAGAAGAAGAGCACATTTGAATAAAAAAGAGGAAGAGAGGCGTTTACTGAACGGATCTGTATGTTAATTCGGTCGGCTTTTCGATGTTTTATGGGTCAGTTCATTTCTCCTTACAAAATACTATCCTCGAACCAACCCAATATTGTTTTAAGCAAACGAAAATAATACACCAATCTACTAGATTTTGTTGAAATGAAAACTAATGCTGCAATTGATGGATGGATGTACAAACATGTTCTCTCTTTAGCTAATTTAATTTTATTAAGTTAAGATTAGATATAAGTGACGTGTTTTGTTTGACATTAATACTAAATACTATATCTTCTTTTTTTCTGTTTTTCTTTTTTGTTTCACTCCAGAAAGAATAGACTCCAGAAAGAATAGAGTAAATGAACTTATAACATTTTTGTCTTGTTATTCTTTTCTTTTTCTTCTGTTTGGGGGAGGTGTTGTTTGAGAAATTATTTTATTCAATGAAAACTGGTGAACTCTTCAAATGGGTGGACATAAAAGGAGATTTGAGCTATCGAAACTAAAAGATATTAGAGTATGTGCGTTATTTGTTACTCCATTTATCTATTTAAAAATTCATAGATTTAGATTGCTAAGCTTCTATTTTTCAATCTCCACCTGCGGCCGGCTCAAAAGGTGTTTCCGCCACCGAATTCTTGGCTCAGTACCTTGAAACTCGGCATCAATCGAATTTCTGTTGAGTTAAAAGGTAGAAACATACTAGAAATTTTTATATTTTAACAATGGAATGATAAATAAAAACAATAATAATACAGTATTAACTACAAAAAAACAACAATAATAATTATAAACCAACCACAAATGGGGGCCACATGTGTAGGGTAAGATTGTAGCAATGCAGTAAACTGCTTACCAATCCAACAAAAGAAAAAAGAAAAACAACCTCTACGCAACAGACTTCGGTATTTTGTAGTGTTTCTTGAGGAATTGAGAGGCCTCTGAGTCGCTCCGATGACACAGAACCCTCAGCAATGTCTTTGCATCGGCACCAAATTTGGACTTTCCACCTTGTAATTCTAATCCGCTTGCAGATTTTAAGTCTTCTATCAATTCCCTCGTCTGCAATTCTCACACCAATAAAAAACATGAACGGAAAACAGAAACCAATTACAATCATGTTCTTGGCATTGATGTATTTAGTCTTCATGTTAAAGCACTAAAAGTTGCAGCAAACCCAAAAAAAAATCAACAGTATGAAAGAACAATTCTACCCAACCCACCCCCCACCCCCCCAAAAAAAAAAGTCTTGACTTCATTGAATTGAATTGAGATACAAAAATAGTTCAATAAAGTGCATTATTTTTTCGGAGACCAGCATTAAGAATATTATAAAAGGAGTACATAAATATTTACTATTACCCTTCAAGGAAAAAAAGAGCTTCCAGTTTTATCTTAGTTTTTATCTAATATGAACAAAGGTAAAACTGAAATAGACAGTCCGCCAATTCTTCTGGAACGAACACTATTTCTCATCTCTAAACCAAATTTTGGGAAACCAAATTCAATGTTCGGAGCAAACGGGTTTTACATTAACGCAAGGCCTTGAGCGAACTGAACTCTGAATTTTTTTGGAGCTCCCCCTTATGCTAATGGTGTAATAATCTTTGTAGTTCAGTTAGTAATCCACAGAGCAGTGGCGGTTCTCTTAAAGAAAAAATCTCCAGAGGGGGCACCAAAAACAAAAAAGGATGATGTTCATTTAACCTCCGCAAGATTTCAACTCATGTCATTGGGTTCTTCAGAATAACTGATTGCATCTTTATTCTGCACATTTTGTTCCGGTCCTAAACGATATGTTTTGTTTTATATGTATGGTTCAAGCTTTCAACTCATGTCAAGAGTTTAACCTCCACAAACTTTCAACTCATGAGTTTAACAACTGAATACATATTCTGCACATTTTCTGGTCCTAAATGATATGTTTCGATCGATAGCATGGAAGTATTCACAATCGAGGAAAAAGAAACAAGAAAACAAATAAGGGGAAAAATTTGCAGCCTGCTTAACAACAAAACTTCCATAAGAATTCTGGAAATGCTGACCTCACAACTATGCAACTTTATGACTTGTCGGACGCTTGCGACTTGATTTTCAACAACTCCACGAGGAAGTCCATCTCCTCCGGAGACGAAAAATTCCTAGCAATAGGAAACGATAACTTCTAAATTTCTGAGATCAAATATTCTTAGCAGCTATAAAATGAGGAAACTTCAATTAAATAGGGTAGATCATGTGAATGCTACGGAAAAAGATCTTTCCACATTAAACAAACCCTCAAATGACAATGTTTTACCTTCAAAACATCAAGATCCTCTTCCATTAACTTAGCATCTGAAAGAGTGAACACACGTGATGGACCTCCATCTAAAATAACGCGCAGTAAGCCATCCTGGCATGCAAAGAACTCTAGAATTAGCTAGAATACAATCACTCAAACAAGAAAAACTTGAACTTTACCAACGCACCAGTGATGCTTGGAGAAGTCCAGTCACAACACGATCTCGGAGTGGTTCCACAATCACATCACAAAGTTGGTTAAGTACCTGCAGGTGAAAAGCTGCTCAGAGAACTTCAATTTCATAAATAGAAACTGTTGGTAGTAAAATCATACTTATGACTTCTCATTAAAGGAGGAGAAAATCTCCATCACACGACAAGAGAAGACAATAATGAGTAATCAGTTCAAGAGCACGACCTTAACAAATTTGCAAACACAAGAAGGCAAAATCCTATAAAGCATGCAGGATCACATTTCACATCGAAGTAGAAAAAGGGGGATCATGAAACTATATACCATAAACATCACCAAAAACCACTGCAGTTCAAATCCGGACAATGTCAAAGATTTGAAAAGTTCACTAATACGTTAAAACAGACTATTCTTCACTTGTCATTGATGATTGTGTTTTGAAATATTTACCCAAAAGATCAAATGTGAGCTAATTTGTAATAAACATAAAATTGATGAGTCCTACAACACGGCTGTAAGGTAAAAGAATACCAAGAATAAAATATATGATAATGCAATGAACAAGCAAACAACGGAAAAATTATGTAAACAATCTTATGACGAAAATTACACGATATGAAAATCAAGTAAAAAGAAATAACAACAAGGAGCCAACTTTGAGCCTTCTCTTTTCACATTAGTAATTGCAGAAATTACTAAGAATATAGGAAGTTATTCTTGATTATATGTTATTTGCAGACAATCAAATAAATGCGAGAAAAAGGTTTCAAGTTGAAAGTTAGAAAGCAAAAATAAATGTTTTACCACGGACAAAACTAATTATGTCTATCGCCGATAAAGTAAATATCAAAACTAGGGAGTTGACATCCAAAAACTTCAAACATTTAGGTTATAAGAAAATGAGCGCACTGAAAATGTAAGCCAACATATTCAAATAGGTTGGAATACACGAAGACGAAGTGTCTCTCTCTAGTATGTGATTGTAATGTACTACTGAAATGTGAAGGCAAGTTCTACGAAGCTTTACATATGAGATTATTGGGCATTGAATGTCAAAACAAACAAAAGTAGGTGTAGCATAATTGTAATGGATGCATTCATGGAAGTCTGGGTGGAATGATAATATGAAAAAGCTGAGATGATAATACTTAAGATGGCTTGGACATAAGGATAGGTGACCTTCGAATACCCCACTTGGACAAGTAAAAAACATACAATTATGAAGTCAAATATAAAGGGCAAGGGAAAGAAATGATAGAGTTGAAAGAATCTATAATGTTGGAATGTAACATGAGATTAAACAAAAGATCATAGCAATATATGATCCATATGGCCAATTCCACATGGTTTAGTGGTGTTGTTATTGTTGTTTGGTTGAAAGATGGCATGCTTACTGTCAGTAAATCAAGGAAGTCAAGAGTAGATAAGATTAAAATAAATAAGAAAAGCTGCATTATAGGAGAAATCTAATCCTATTCCTGATTGTTAGGGATTTAGGGTAACTAATTCTTTATTGAAGGGATTTGTCTCCTATCCTTTCCCTATAAATGTAGTAGATTCTGTGTATTCTGAATATACTGTAATACAGAAATATCATTTCCTGGAGTCTATATTTTTATAGATGGTGTCAGAGCTTCAGGCTCAATCATGAATTTTAAGGCTGCCATGGTTGGCTCCGTAGGTTCTAACAATAGTGAACCATATTCAGAGCAAAGCTCTCACCCTTCTGTTTTTGAAAATTCCCTTCAAATTACCAATCAAAAGTTGAATGGGTAAAATTATCTAGAGTGGTCTCAGTCTGCACGTCTAGTGGTAGATGGCAAAGGGAAACTTGATTTTTTGAATGGGAAAATAAAGCCCCCTGCCACAAATGATCCAAAATATTGGCAGTGGCGATCAGAAAATTCAATGGTCACAGCCCGGTTGATCAATTCTATGGATCCTGCGGTTGAAAAACCTTTCCTATTTTTGCCGACTGCCCAAGATGTCTGGGAGGCAGTTAGAAACACCACTCAGATCTGGATAATCATTCACAATTGTTCGAGTTAAATGCTCGAATCTGGAAGATGCAGCAAGGTGAACGTGAAGTGACATCATATTACAATGAGATGATGTCTACTTGGCAAGAGCTGGACTTGTTTGAAGCAGAAGAGTGGGAAAGTCCTAGGGATAGTGCTCAGTATGCAAAGAAGGTAGAAACAAGTTGGGTGTTTGTTTTCCTGGCTGGTTTAAACAAAGATCTGGATGAAGTTCGAGGACGTATCCTAGAGAGAAAACCCCTACCCTCTATCAGAGAAGTTTTCTTAGAAGTGCGCCGAGAAGAAACACGGCGCAAAGTGATGCTGAGAGAAATTAATGATACAAAGGCTGAAGTTGAAGGGTCAGCCCTAGTGGCAAGAAGTGCAGATGTGGAAGGTGATAAAAGGGGAGGAAAACAAAAGGTTTGGTGTGATCATTGCAAAAAGCCATGGCACACTCGAGAAAATTGCTGGAAGTTGAACGGCAAACCTGCAAACTTGAAGAAGAGACAAGGCTTTGATAACAAGTCAGGGGGAGAAGTTCATGCATTTCAAGTAAGCAATGCTAATCCCGGGCAGCAATCATCCTCGGAATCTCTTCCGTTCACCAAGGAACAAATGGAGCACTTATACAAGTTGCTTCAATTCTCAATCCACAGGAACCTCTACCCCATCCTGCTCTCTTGCTAAATCAGGTAAATATCGCATCCTTCTTCTAGTTCGTACCAGTTCAAATGAATACTCGATCCTAGATTCAGGCGCCACCAATTATATAATAGGAAAATCCCAATTTTTCTCTTCTGATGCACCTTATGTAGGGAATCAAAAAGTGAAAATGGCTGATGGTTCCTATGCTTCTATTGTAGGAAAAGGAACTGTCCCTATCTTTCCTTCTCTAACTCTTAAAGATGTTTTACATGTTCCTAATCTTTCCTACAATCTTATTTCTGTTAGTAAACTTACCTGAGATCATAATTGCCAAATTCTTTTCTCGTCTTCTAACTGTAAATTTCAGGATTTAACCTCGGGGAAGATGATTGCGGGTGTTAAACAGGTTGGTGGCCTCTACCTACTCATAAAGGATTCTTTGGAATGCAAGACCAGCAGACATGTTTAAATTATATTTCTATTTCTAATGATAGTGACATATTGTTATGGCATTATCGATTGGGACATCCTAACTTTCAGTATTTGAAGCATTTGTTTCCCAAGTTATTTATGAATAGAAAGATTTCAGCTTTTCAGTATGAATTTTGTGAATTAGCAAAACACCAGCGTGCAATTTTTTCCTCTCAGCCATACAAAAAATCAGAACCATTTACTCTAATTCATAGTGATGTTTGGGGTCCTTCAAGAATGCCAACTCTTTCTGGAAAACGTTGGTTTATCACTTTCATTGATGATCATACTAGAGTCACTTGGGTCTTTCTTCTAAAAGAGAACTGTTCTCAAAAATTTTTACACAATGGTTCAAGCACAATTTCAGACTCAAAATCCAAATTTTCAGAAGTGATAATGGGAAAGAGTTCTTTAACAATGAATTAGGACATTTTTTCATGGAGAATGGAATTGTGCATCAAAGTTCGTGTGGTAATACACCTCAACAAAATGGAGTGGCTGAACGAAAAAATAAACATCTACTTGAAGCTGCTAGAGCCCTAAGTTTTACAACTAAAGTTCCTAAGTACCTTTGGGGGGAAGCTGTTTTAACAGCCACCTACTTGATCAATAGAATGCCTACACGAATGTTGGACACCCATCCAGGTTTTCTCGATTATTTTCCAAATAGTCGGCTGGTTACTGACATCCCTTTAAAAATATTGGGAACGGTGGCCTTTGTCATAATCATGACCCTAAACGTTCCAAACTTGATCCCAAGGCACATAAATGCATTTTTGTGGGCTATCCCACCAATCGAAAAGGTTACAAATGTTTTGATCCAGTTTCGAAAAAGATGTTTACGTCTATGGATGTTACCTTTTTTGAAGGAACCTCATACTCTAGTGATTCCCATCTTCAGGGGAGAACAATAAGAGTGAAGATGGTTTCTTTGATAATTCTGATTTGTTAGTTGATGTTTTGCACAACCAATCATTAGCACACGAGGAAGAAAATGCAAAACCAATGGAAAATGAAAAAACAGTAGAAACTAAAGAACCATTGATAATACCTTCTGAAAATAAACCATCTGAAGTTATGGAAATGAATACAAAACGGTTTAAAGGTCTTGTATATTCAAAGAAGGGGAAAGGCACCATTGCACTGCAGCCCCAACAATCTGATGAGGTAGTGGAACCTGAACTTTCTCATGAATTTTCAACAGTTCCTTTAGAATCTAACTCTCCTAATCATCTTGATTTGCCCATTGCCCTAAGGAAAGGTGTTAGATCTTGTACAAAATATCCTTGGTCAAATTTTGTTTCTTATGAGAATATTTCACCTCCATATTTTACCTTTATTTCACAATTGTCTAGTGTGTCCATTCCTAATGGTATACATGAGGCCTTAAGTATTCCTGACTGGAAGGAAGCTATTTTGGAGGAGATGAGAGAGCCTTGGAAAAGAATGCTACTTGGGAAAAGGTTGACTTGCCGAATGGGAAGGCAGTTGTTGGTTGTAAATGGGTGTTTACCTTGAAATACAACTCAGATGGATCCTTGGAAAGACGCAACGCACGCCTAGTGGCTAAGGGCTTTACTCAAACATATGGAATGGACTATTCCGAGACATTTTCCCCTGTGGCTAAGCTGAACACAGTCCGTATACTTCTTTCTGTTGCAGCAAATCTTGACTGGCCTTTAAATCAACTTGATGTGAAGAATGCCTTTTCTGAATGGGGACTTGAAGGAAGAAGTATACATGGAACCCCCACCTGGTTTCAATGATAAGTATGGGACAAAATTTTGCAGGTTAAAGTCTTTATATGGACTCAAACAATCTCCACGAGCTTGGTTTGAAAGGTTCACAAGGTTTCTTAAACGTCAAGGATATATGCAAGGATAATCTGATCACACTCTTTTCACAAAGGTGTTCACTAAAGAGAATATCTCAGTTTTGATCGTCTACGTAGACGACATAATCTTGACCGGAGATTATGTGAAAGAAATGAATAAACTAAAGCAAAACCTGGCCAAGGAATTCGAGATCAAAGATTTAGGCCAGCTCAGGTACTTTCTTGGAATGGAAGTGGCAAGATCAAAAAAGGGAATTGTGGTTTCACAACGGAAGTACGTTTTGGATCTCTTAAAAGAGACAGGAATGAGTGGATGCAGACCAGCTGATACTCCAAATGAAGTAAATGTCAAACTTGGAGATTTTGAAAATGGAATACCAGTAAATAAGGAAAGATACCAAAGACTGGTTGGAAGACTAATCTACCTATCACATACACGGCTTTCGCTGTCAGTGTGGTAAGTCAGTTTATGCACTCACCACGCAAAGAACATCTTGAAGCAGTGTACCGAATATTTCGATACTTAAAAGGCACCCCAGGAAAAGGATTGTACTTCAAGAAAAATGAGAAAAGGGAGATTGAAGTGTACACAGATGCTGATTGGCAAGATGTTGATTGGCAGGATCCATCACTGATAGAAGATCAACTTCTGGATATTGCACCTTTCTTTGGGGCAACCTGGTTATTTGGAGGAGCAAGAAACAAAGTGTAGTTGCCAGAAGTAGTGCTGAGGCTGAATTCAGATCAATGGCACAAGGAGTGTATGAGATTCTTTGGCTAAGAAGGGTTCTTTGGGATCTTAGAAGGCCAGTACAGTTTCCTATGAGCCTATACAGTGATAATAAAGCAGCTATCAGCATTGCTCATAATCCAGTTCAACATGATAGGACAAAACATGTTGAGATTGACAGACACTTCATAAAGGAGAAACTTGAAAAGGGAATAATATGCACTCCATTTGTCCCAAGTATACAGCAGCTTGCAGATGTTCTAACTAAGGGTCTCTTGAGACAACCATTTGAGTTTCAAATTAGCAAGTTGGGCATGATAGATATTTATGCACCAACTTGAGGGGGAGTGTCAGTAAATCAAGGAAGTCAAGAGTAGATAAGATTAAAATAAATAAGGAAAGCTGCATCATCGGAGAAATCTAATCCTATTCCTGATTCTTAGGGATTTAGGATCACTAATCCTTTATTGAAGGGATTTGTCTCCTATCCTTTTCCTATAAATGTTTACTGACTCTGTGTATTCTGAATATACTGTAATGCAGAAATATCATTTTAGGGAGTCTATATTTTTCTAGACTTACAAACAAGACCTTCAAACCAATAATGTAACCACAGCCAAGAATGTCGTCAGTCTATCGGGCAAAGATCGTTCTTCGTACTTAAAATCAAGGTTTAATGCATAACACATGATAATGGTAAATATATAAGAACAAAGTTTTGTCTATTGAGTCCTCTTCATACTTGTAATACACAAGAAGCATCTAGGAGTCTTCAGATGGCTTAGTGTGATTGCCAAGCAGAATATAAACTTTTTCATCATTATGCCCATTTTCTTTCTCAAAAGTTACGTAATGTTTCTCTATATCAGCAGCTGACACTGAAAGATTTTCAACAGAATTTTTAGTAAAAGGCATAAATATCTTGAGACAATATTCCATTGCAAGTCTAAAGGTAGTATGCCAGATAAGCTGAACATGTTGCGTGCATGGGGCGAGGGAGAGACAAACGAACACAAGAGATGTAAAAAGAAAAGAGACGGAATACCAAATCCAGTGGATCAATCAGCATTTCCAACCTAGATTGAGAAACACTTGGCCTGTATAGATTTTCAATAAAAGGTTCTCTCAGGTCCCAAAAAACAATTTTAGTTCCTGCAAATACATAAGGAAAAAAAAGAAGAAGTCAGACTTCAATTCAAAACTTGGATGGTATAAACCAGAGAAGTCCAAGGGTAAAGCAAAGTGCTCACCAGTGAATTCACAGATTTTGTCAATTGCAGCATTTAAATCTTTCCTTCCTCCATCAAATGTTTCTTTTTGTATTGAACTTTTGACTTGTCCTTCTTTAGGTCCTCCTGAAAATTTAACAGACAGTAAAGCAGGAGCAAAAGGTCAATGTTCATAAAGAGGCAGTAAAATTCTTTGAAGGGTTTCTCAATTGAACTCTTTAACATCTAACATAGTTGTCAACAAGAGTAGAGGGTTGAAGTAAATCTTAAGGCAATTAATGATGAAAAGCATGCAATCAGAGGCAAATGTAGATACAGATGAAAATTTCCTACACAAAAATTAGCAGATGTAGTACATATTTGTAGCAACGACAGAACAAATAAGTGTTAAAGTGAACAAGTGTGGTTTAAACTCAAACAAGTTTCTGATTCATTATGATTACAAAGTCAGAGAAGAAGAAACAATAACGTACTCATTGACATATCTTGAGACTTTTTCCTGGTCCATCTCTCAAAAATGTTATCTTCCAGCCTAGTTAGTTGGCCTACTGCATACTGTAGGACAAATGATTATGTGATAAATTAGGACTCCTAGGTATAAGAGACAAAATTCCACATTGCACAGAATTTCTACAATAAAAAGAGAGTCCAAGGGTAAAGCAAAAATGACCTGCAAGAATAGCTTTGTGACAGTATACGGAACAAAACAGAACCATGCAAATCTAGGAGAGACTTGGATCTAAAACTGGGTAACTATTTAGACAATTGACAGTCAACAGTCACCACAATATCGCACTCCGAGAACAGGACAATCACGTAGTTACCACACTTCCGTTTTATACAGTCAAAGAGATCACATGCAAGAGTAAAGGGATCTAAATCACAGAAAAAGCCCAACAGAAAAGAAGCTCAGCAGACAAATGAAATCCATCTTCTTATCAACTAACTAATAATAGCAATAGTACTCTGCTGCTTGTGATGTGAATACTTGGCCAATGACTCAACCTCAAACTTGCAAATATAGCCTGCCACCACCTTGTTCCACTGTATCCCTTTCAAAGTAAATTAGCCATCCATGGAATGTTTTCACAGCTTCATAATGTTATATTTGACCTCTGTACACCTTGCTATTCACATGCTATGCCTATTTGTCAGTATTAAGGATTAGCAAATACTCCCTCCCTCCCAAAGTGATTGCCCAATTTGGATTTTCATACTAAAAATAAAAATCAACGGGAGAATCATTTTGGACAGATGGCTTTAACAAATTTCTAACCAAGCAGGCACAGATATACATAAGTTTTGGTCATCCATACTCTAGTATAATCCACTATCAATGAAACAAAGGAGAGTAGGAAATTGATCCATTTTTTTTATCTTGTGGGATCGCATTGTTCTTGACTAGCGAGGAGCTCATTTCTAAAAATAGTTTGGTAGGATTTATTGCTAAAGAATGGACAAACCACACAAATATGAAGATAATATAAAGAAAGGTCTTTCAGAAACTCACATGAAGGGTATTTAACTGAACACACAAAATTGGTGTAGCCAGAACATTAATTTCCTGGGACTTTCTCATATCTGTCAGCCTTGGATCTCTGAGTTCCTTTTTCACTAGAGATTTGAGACCACCCTCCTTAGAAAATCGTGTTAGGATTGGCAAAGGTGGAACAATCTCTTCCTTATTGGCTGCATAGCCCAAACAGAAACAATTAGCCTGATGAACAAACATTACCTCAAACAATAATTGAGTGGCCCTACTGGAACTTAGGGCTGTCAACGAACCGAGCACTTCGCAAGCAGCTTGGTCAAAGCTTGGCTTGAATTCGGTTTTGACCGAACTTGAGCCGAATTCGAACAGCTCGATTAGATAGACGAGTCGAACACGAGTATCAAAATACTTGATTCGAGAGTTCGTCGAGCTTATTATAAGTTTTTTTTTTTATTATGAATAATATTTAATTCACAAAAACTTTTCTTTTTATTCCTTAAAAATTATTGTCCATTATAATTTGAAGATGTAATAATGGGATATACATATTTTTTATGATTTGACAAAGAATTTTACTCATAGAATACATAGATTGTACTTGTTAAATTGAAAATGACATATTGAAATTTATTCGAGCTCAGTATATCGAGCATTCGAGCTCAATTTTTACCAGACACAAAAACTCGAGTCAATCGAGCCGAGCGCGAACTATTCGTTTTTATTTCGAGCCAAACTCAAACTTTAATTTAGTTGTTCGACCAAGTTCAAACTCGAATACGAGCTCTAAAGTTTTTGTCGAACTAGAGCTCGAGCATCTAATTGTTTGGGCTCGAGCCCAAACAATTAGATGCTCGAGCATCTAACTGTCAACGAACCGAGTCAAGCCCAAACAGTTAGATGCTCGAGCTCGAGTTCGACAAAAACGTTGGAGCTCGTATTCGAGTTCGAACTTGGTCAAACAACTAAATTGAAGTTTGAGTTTGGCTCGAAATAAAATCGAATAGTTCGCGCTCAACTCGATAGACTCGAGTTTTTGTGTCTGGTAAAAATTGAGCTCGAATGCTCGATATATTGAGCTCGAATAAATTTTAATATTTGTCATTTTCAATTTAACAAGTACAATCTATGTGTTCTATGAGTAAAATTCTTTAACAAGTCATAAAAAATATGTATATCCCATTATTACATCTTCAAATTATAATGTACAATAATTTTGAAGGAATAAAAAGAAAAGTTTTTGTGAATTAAATATTATTCATAATAAAAATAAAATAATTTATAGTGACCTCGAATAGGCTCGACGAGCTCTCGAATTAAGTATTTTGATACTCGTGTTCGACTCATCTATCTAATCGAGCTGTTCGAATTCAGCTCGAGTTCGGTCAAAACCGAATTCAAGCCAAGCTTTGACCAAGCTGCTCGCGAAGTGCTTGGTTCGTTGACATCCCTAAACTACACCAATAAGAAACGAGTTGAAACAACATTAAAGCATATAAAGAGGAAAATTTTTCAAACTAAGTAGAGTAAAAGCAGCAAAAGGCAATTCAATTTCTTGATATCGCAAAACATACGTCAATCGAATGCAAATAATTAGACCCTGTAACAGTAGAGAAACGTCAATAACAAAAACCAAGAGATTCTCTGAGCTGGAATAATATTGACTTTTCACAACTTGAGAATCAAAATAAAATTTAAGAAAGCGTAACAAACAGTTTTTCCAGGATTGCAACGTTGAAAATTCTTAAAAAAAAACAAAGAAAACAAAAAACAAAAAAAAGAAGGAATTAAGTGGCCTCCAGGAATCCACTTCCAATAGTAACATTGTCAAATCAAGATGACAGGAGCACCTGGCACTTATAAGCAGAAGATGAGGTACATTCAGGAGATAGGTACTCAAATTATCATGGAGATCGGAGTTAGAGTTTCAACTTTTTCTTGAGCTAATGGTGAAGACAATTATCATGCAGAAGAAAGCCCGTAATTTCAGCATAGATTGCCTAAACTGTTGGAAATCTTAGCAAATTTCCTAATTACGTCAAAGGATATAGAATATATTTGCTCCCTTTAAAAAGCTGATTTTGAAAAAACCACTGTGCATTTAACTTCAGAGTAAAGAATGTGAAACAATATTAAAGTTTTTAGAACAAGTCACAAAAACCCACCGAACTCATAATGCAATAACAGCTTCAGAATAAAACCAGAACGACACAATAAACCAATGGCCTCCGACACAATTATTTGCATCCAAGATGAACACCAACCCATTCATTAGTTTGCAACTCCATTCTAAAAAGTTTATATTACCCAATTTACTACCAGTAGTGCAGTACTGTTTCATGATATTTGTGAATCTTATGCAGTCATTTATTCTGGATGGATATGAAACTTAAGTTACAAGCATTGACAGCTTTCTTCGGCTTATTGCACATACTTTTGGAACACAAAGGTGAAACCAATTTGATGTTGGTTCAACTTTTCCTAAGCTACTCAGACTGGTCAGCTGCTTTTAGAAATGTATATGTTTTGTTTCTAGTGATCCCCGTTGCTCGAACACTAAATATAGATAATTTGAAAACAATCTTTGACGTGGTCACTTAAGCCCATCTCCAAAAAAAATCAAGGAACCACATATTCTAAGTTTAAAAATGAAACAAACTGTTACATATCAGTTATCTCTTTAGGATGCAATAATTCAAGAGCCAGATCAACGAGGAGTGACTCATGAATCTCCAAATACGTTAGTCCGGCAAAAATGAAAACTGAAAAGTCCGGCAACATCAACAAAATATTCAACTGAATTATTCAGCGTTAAATAATGGTATATTGACTGAACTGGGAGAGGATTGCGCTTATAATTCTCTCTTTTGTGATTTTGTCATGGCTTTTTTGTCATTCGGTCTTGGGATTATGATTATCAAAGAACACTTTACTGTATAACTCAGGTTTAAACTAGAGCATGGAAATTACTATAGGAATAGGAACAGCTCCTTGGTAGGATTACCTGATGCAAATCGTCATGCTACAGTACATTAAAATTCAGTTCAGTCAAGGAATATAAACGGGGGAACCATCAAAAGCATAATTTATTCCATTGTCAACAATATTCGCATTTGGCTAGGCCCTTTTCCTATTGGTTCACGCATAAAAGCCTGCAAGACTTGAAAACTCGTGATATCTACAACACAAGTGAAAAAACCACTGATGAAGGCTCAACTCTATTGGAGAGAAAAGCTAATGTGGCAAAATACTCCTTCCTCATACAAAACATAATTGGACATAGTGCTCAAGTAGACTGGGAGACCTACGAATCATTCTAGTTCTTGTTCATCATGAAGTTGAATTATCAGGCATATTTACACATACTTAAGAAAGAGCAGGAAAGGAGGTCAGTAACAATGCAGGTGTTTGGGATAATTGATTTAGGAGGCATTGATTGTCATTCTCACTAACCACATGTTTTCTAGTGCAACTGGAAATGAAAACTTGGTTAACTAATTTAAGGTCAGTAAAAGAAAAATAGGAGCAAATATTCCAACCACAACTACAAAATTATAGTATTGGTCAATGATTATTAGTTCAACAAAAGAACAAGAATAAATAAAACCAACTACTACGCTTATATTCTACTATGTGGGAATACGATATATCACCTTTCTTACCCATCAAATACAAAATCAGGAATAGATATTGCACTAGAAAACATTTGAAAGTTTTGTTGGAAATAATTGTACAGAAACTTCCCTTCCAAAGAAGCAGCCAAGTTAAGATACTAACCTAGTTGATTAACAATATCCTTTGCATAAACTTGAAATGCATTGCCAAGGCCACGGACAAGGCTGCTGAGTTCACCTGACCTCATCGGGACTTTAAAAGCAAAAAACTGATCAACTGTCTGTAGAGGGAGAGGGGAAAAACTAACGTCAACCATCACAATTTAACTTTGGCTTGGAGTGTGCAAGGGATTAAGTTGAGTCCCCAGACTGATGGATGCATAGGTGAATTACAACTACACTCTTTCCCTCAAGAAAAAAAAAGCAAACAGCATTGCAGTTTGGCATGATGAAAACTAGAATGTTCCTAAAAACAGGGGAGAAAATAGAGAAACATAGTAGAAACCCTGTCACTGCTGCATAAAGTTCTTCCACTTCATTTTTTACATAGAGATGCTAACATACTTTTTGCAGACAAAATTGGTTAGGCATTTTATTAGTTTCAATCATCATGTTAAAAAGTTTCCGTTTATTTATATTAATCCCAACTTTTTCAAGCTATCTCCATCCCTCTAATAGGTAAGGCCCCCTATCTTAGATTCTTACCATTTTTCAAATGTTTTACTGCTATCTATACTACTGTTGTTTGAATTTCCTATCATATGGGGATCTGTTGGACATCTCAATTTCTTATAAATTAATGCAACAACATTCTCTTTAACCTCATTCAATAGGCTATAAATAATCCTTCCCGTCGATCTTTTATTACCTTTTTATGTAAACTGAAACTTGTCAATTTTCATATTTGAAACATTTAATTTGAGTTATATTGACGATCATAAATGAAAGATGTTATCGACGTAGATTAAAACCACACCAAAAGATGTTTTTCACTTATGAAATCCAGCCGTGAAGTGAATCTCACGAGAACACATAACCTGAGAGGATCATGCCTCCAAATGTTGAAGGAATATAGACATGGGATCTTTGAGATGTGCAATTTTTGTCACCCAAGTTTGGAGTTTAAAAGGAAAAACACTATGTTTGGTTATGGTGTCTCCAATTTGTTGCTTCAGTGAATCCACTTTCCTTCTCCTAATACCAAATAATGAAATGGAGGCGGGAACAATATATTTAACTAATGAAATAAATGCAATACAAAACTAAATTTATAACGAGAATCAATATGCCAACAGAATAAAACACAGAACCTCCTCCACAATTCTGTATACTTCAATTATTGAACTTCCATGCCTTTGTTGAGGCGACACAGGAACCCAGCTCTGCAGAAATCAGCAAAAGAAGTGTTTGCAAATACATATTTTAGAAAAATAAAGACAGTTTGTAAAGAATTGATTCAATGGAAACAAAGTTTACTTAACGGGACTCGTATTTTTCATATTTTCTGCTTATGATAGTTCAACTACACAAAAAACAACGGTAAAACAACTTCTCCGAATGCTTTTATAGTTCATCCAACTGTAAGGGAAGCTGCTTAAGTGAAAAGGCACAAAAGGGGGATTAATTGTTCCATCAACAATTTCATTCAAATTGATAAACATAAGCAAGAACATAATTGTCACTCCATTTCGCCAGTTTATTTTCTCCTTTATACGATCAAACCACCCCATGGCTCCACCTCCCTACCAGTTGCCTGTTCCCCCAAGCCCCAAAACGCTGAAATAGATGGATCCTTTTCTCCTCTGCCCCGGAGCTCCAATATCTTTCTTACCCCACAACCCCAAAGAATTATCCATCAGATAAGGTGTAAAGTCGTAAATGAATGGAGTAGAACTCTCTTCGAACTCTTTACTCATGGGGAGTAATTTATTTTATGTAAGAACAAAAAGTCATGAATACCAACTAAATTAAGGATTAAACTTTCTAAGTGTACTCATCTTCTCTTACCCCAACTGATTTGGGGGTTATGCACATCAAAATATTGCCAATGTGGAACAGTGGTTTGTGGCAGCCATGGAAGTAAATGTTTTTCTAAATGCAAGGGTAACCCTTCCAACATTCTAGTGATCATATGCACAAGTTTTGAGTCATTTAGTGATAGTATACTGAAAAGAACACTTATAGTCTGGTCATTCCGTTTCTTGTGCATAACATGTGGATTTATAGTTAGTACGTGTTGAAATCCCGAACAAGGAGAGTTTCCATTCTTTTACAACAGCTAATTGAGAAACTTCAAAACCTATGCAATGATGACTAGAGCTTGAATCCTTCTAAAAGGTTCATACGAGGTCTAAATATTTGTCATTTTCTTTGGAGTAACAATGTTCTACTTTTGTTAAGAAATCAACTACAGTAGAATTGTTAAAAGTTAGGATTAGTTTATCCGTCCAAAAGTATACCATCCTAATGGAAATTCTTCCAAAAATGCATATAACACCTCATTTAAGTATCCAACAAAAGCTCTTACCTCCTGTTCAATAGCACGCTCAACCCAATCTAAAAGTCTTGCCAGTTGTGAATTCACCCATCTCAGCACTAATGTTCCAGATACAGTTTCAATCTGATGAGAGTGAAGGATGTTATGGAAGATAATCGAGCAAAAACTTTTCGAAAATATAATGAGAAAAAAGAAAGAAGAAAACAAACGGAGGCGCTAAAGGAAAAATATTGTAAAAAAAAGCACGACAGTAGAACAAAACAAGTTCGCTAGAAGATTACTCCATACATTCTGAGAATTTTTTCGCGTACGTAAGGACTTGTAAATTTTACTCCCTCCATTGAGTTTTAATAGTCCATTAGATACATATAGAATATTTAAAACTGGACATATGAACTGTGTATTATCTGATAATTGTGGTAAAATTGACAAACCCCAAACTTTATTCCTTTCCTCATTGCAACTAGGATTAAGCCAATGTCTGGAATTCAGTTTTAAAAATCACTAATAAAATGGGACCAAGTGAGCGTCATGTATCGTTGAGGATGCTACGGAAACTACATTAATTAGGAAAAAATATATAACGCTGTCAGGCAACAAAACATTGTTTACTCAACAGCAATGGAACTAGTTACCATATTTCTTATGGAAAACGTTGCAGCTTAACTGATCCAAAGGAAATAGACTTCTGCCTTGCATCTAGAGTACATTAAATATTAAGCTGTATACCCTGTTCCATAAATTTCAGTATTTGCAAGCAGTAATTGACATCAGTTTCAATGGACGACAACCTGCTCTCGTAATAGGTACCCATAACCAGTCATAGGAGTTAATGCAACTTTACAAACTAAATCAAAATATAAAGTTGGAATGACAAGCATAAGTTGTGGCGATGTCAAACTAAGCATTTTCAACTCCCAAAAAGTACTGGTCCACAGAAAAATATCAACAAAAGCATTGAAAACCTGTAAAATTATCTAACAGGAAGTTGTTAGAGTACCCTCTACTTACCTTGTACCGGTTCAATCTTCTGCAATATGTTTCTCCAGTTTCTTCACTGCAGTAAGACATGATGACTTCCATTACATACTGCTCAAGATTATCAGCAGAAGGAAATACAGCTACAACATCTTCAGTAAGATGTTCAACCCCTTCAACAAATGGTTTCTGCAGCATGAACATTCACTTTGTCATCCAAACTGAAAGATGTGTGACAGTGGTTTTGCCAAATAAAGTTACCACTAATTCGCGGCATACCAGTTTGATTCCATATAACTTATGCAAAAGAGAGGCAGAAACAGCGACTGCATTGGGATGCCTTTGAGACAAGATTGGCATGTAGGTAGAGGCCTCCTTTTTCAAAAGTTTCTTTGTCTGTTGTGCAAGCAATGCCAAAGGATGCTCATGTGTGGCATCAGACACCATCTCGATATCCTTAACTAGCTGCACGGGAAGCAATTCTTAATAAGTCATTATATTCAGTTCCCCTTGATTCCAGTTTCTTTTGAAGCATAATATAATCAACTGCATTTTCCGGTAGAAAAAGCAGTTAAAACAAAAAACTCCTCATGCCTACTCATGACTAACAAACCTCAGCAATCAAAGCTAGAACCAAAACCTAATGGATCTTGTATACAGAGATTAACATTTTTAACATGTTTCATAATCATTAATTTCCTTGCTGTCACACAAACAAAAAAAGCATATTACCTAGAAAGTAACAAGGAGTTAAAGGCCCAGGTGCAACAATCAGAAACAAGGCGTTAAAATAATATAACCATCAAATCATATATCACAAGTGCACGTCAACAAACAATCTGACTCTGTTGAAAGCCAATAGCTGACTCAATCTGTAATACAACATATGCCTGATCATGTTAGCAGGTGCCGAACAACTTCAACATTTAAATAAAATAAAAAAAATTCCTATCCAAACCCCAATACACAAACGTTTTGGCTCATCAAATTTCATGAAATGATACAATTCAACCGTCAGATCCAAGCTTCTTAAATGGAATAAAAACAATTCAAGTTTGTGAAGTTTTCTCATGAACTAAACTATGAGTTAAAGAACTTTATTTCGTTCCAAGATATCAATCCTCACATCATTTTACACATTAACCGTATATGAGCCGAATGAAGTCATGTCAAGTTCAACTTCAAAAAAAAAAAAGGAAAAAAGAAAAAAAAAAAAAAAAAAAAAGAAAGACTTCCGGCAATTCATCAACAATAACATTCTAAGCTAGTGTATTCATAGTTTTCTATTCAAACCTTATCTTGAATACTCTTATCAGTAATGTACAAGTCATTACAGTGATATATCATTGAAGAAACCACCCAGGTAGTAAAGTAACTCCAAATTCGCCCTCCGTAACTCTTACTATGATGGCTAAGCTTTTACCTACACAATGAGTTGAATCCACAACGTAGATTGTATCATACTGTCTTGCACCGAAACAATGTATTTCGTTTAGGCACATCATGTCCTCTTTTCATAGTTTAATCCTAAATCCTTAAGGGTTCACCCTTCCACAGAATATTTAAGAGTATCTATTTGCAACAACTAAATGTCTTATATGAACATATCCAAACCACATTAAGTTTGTTTCAACATTTCATCTTTCGAGTCTAAACCCTGTTTCAATCTAATGCATTCCTCTATATCTTCTATTTCTTCAATGTTAAGCCTGCAATAAAGGTTAGACATGAGTGAAATAAATAACATGGAATTTCATTCAGTTCCATGTACACAAAAAGTAGGCTATCATCTAATACCATTAGTTTATCTCAGCATCTGTCATTGAATTGCTAGTAAATGATCAAATTACCAACTCCAATTAAGGCGACTGTCATAGATTTTGACTATTCAATCCCAAGTTGTAAAAAGAAGAGAACAGAGTTGTCACATCCATGACAAAACAAGATCCTATAAACAAAGGTATGCATTGAAGTAGACACAATAAAACAGCTGCATAACGATACGATTATTCTCATGTATACCATCAATTAGCAATAGTCATGGCTGGGGGAACCAATTTTGGGTATCGCTTTTGGAATAATTTATCATTTCATAAATATGAGTTAGAGATATATGGATATATCCATTTCCTCTTTCTTATTTGTTTTATGTGGAAACGATGCATTTATCATGCATTCATAAAGCCTGAGGGAGAAAGAAAAAACGAAAAGAAAGAAACCGACAGGAGTGAGAAAGAGTTGCAAGCCTTTCGTTGTATACTTCAATTCGAATTATTTTACAGATCTAAGTGATAATGATCCAATGACCAAACTAACCTAGAAAGTGTAACACATCAAAAAAGATAAATAAAAAAAAAAAAAAAATCATTGAGACATTTGCTCGATATCAAAAAAGAAATGAGGGGAGAGTGGGGAAACATAGGAACATGTAAGGAGATGAACATTCAGGTGGTGGAGATAAATTGAAGGTTAGCAAGTTCAAAATAGGAGCAAAAAACTAAATTGCAGAATAATGATGATTTTAAGTGAACCGTTGTCAACTTACCCTCACATATGCACTCTTAATCGATGACAACACATATAACTCTATCTGCTCACTATCTGTGGCAGGTTCAGAGTTCATTGGCTGCAGAAATCCAAATTATGATGATATCAACACCAGTAAGGGAATCATCCAAGTAAACAGCTAACCTAAATATTAATGTACTATTCAATCTGAGAAAATTGTTAACAAATACCATTTCAGGCTCTTCTGACAGTAGCCTTCGAACCACCATTGCCGCTAATAACACATTCTCCATGATTGCTGAGCCCTACAGTTTACAGGACTCAATAAAAAAGATAATTTTGACATTGAAAACATAGAGAAACAAGGAAATCATAATGATCATCCTCTTTAGATGCTACTCTTAAGGAATATTTATCCATCATATCCAGTATTTCAAAGCTTATGTTTTGGAAAAAAAAAAACTGGAATCCTAGCTTGGAGCTAACTCCGTTTCACAACAGAACTGGGATTCTAGCTTGGAACTTTACTCTGTTTCACAACAGAACTAGGATCCTAGCTTAAATGACACAACCATCAGGCGAAGAAATATCTCACAATTAAGTACACAACAGAAATGAGAGTCGCAAACTGCTCACAGAATTTCAGAAAATCAATTACATGGCTTTTCAGAAATCCCCAGCATTGGCTGCACACTCATGAACTTTAATTCCTAAAGAACTAGGAGTTTGAAAATAACAAGGAGCAGAAAACTTTGACAAAAGATCTCCAAATATCACGAAGGAGAGACAGGCACAAATAAAACTAATCAGAACCCATTCCCCCACCTCATTTCACAGTTTATTCTTTACAATCTTTTCTTGTGGAGAATATCTAAAGCCCCAAATATCCACACACTACCGAACTAAAAATCTTGTCAGCTTGAGATATAGGAAATCTTTAAGATGCCAAAAGGTTCACCACATTAGTCAGTGATGGACTCGGAAAAGATAAGCCTCTCATTTTTATGTAAATAAAAAGCTCACATATATTCAAACACCAGTAAAATATAATAATTTGTCAGCAGACCTCAGGATAATGAAGATGGTAGTCCCCCAGCTGCTTGTCAGCCCATTTCTGGATGGGCAATAAGAAAGATTGCAAAAAGGTCATGTCTTGCAATCCATTGGCATTTTCAACTCTGCTAAGCAAGCTTTTTAAGTGCAGCCTTTCCTGCTGCCCTCGTTGTTCTTTCAGAGGTATTCTCTTTAATTGTTCAATTGAATCTTTTAGAAGTCCTAGCTCACCCGTGAGAACAAACTGCAATAATAAAAAGTCGTGACTTGTAGTTTGAAGTTCATAACCAGCAAAACAGGCAAAATCACAAGAAAAAGCTAACAAAATATAGCAGTGTTGAACAAGGCTCAAATCAAGAAATTATGAACTCCAGTGTTTAGGACCTATGATTAAGGTACTGCTGAAATTGGAAGCAGAACTCTAATAGCTGTAAGAAAGAAATGCTATACAAACAAACAAAAAGTGTTCTGAATAAAAATGTAAATTAAAAAAGAAAAGGAAACTGAGGTTTGCTATTATGAAAATGTTGATGAGAATGTGCGCACAATATATTAAGTATAGTACAGAAAGAGTTAGAAGAAGGGCTAACGATTGTGTTCATAGACAAGAAAATGAGACGGAACACACCAAAAGTAGCCCAGGTATGAACTTAATAGATCTTCAAATGCTACAATAAAGTGTGTAAAAACCACAGAATGGCTAAAGAAGATTGGAAAGGCCTCAAAAGGGGTTAAAGGAAAACCTATTATATATAATTTCATTTATATGACCTATACGAAAACATGTATATTAATAAACCAACTCCACGACTTGGGATGATGGTTCAGTTGCTGATGTTGATTAACCAGTAAAAGAAAAGTATACTATTTATTTTGGTATACCTGACGAAATAACAACCATGCGTAACAAGTATAATGGATGGTTTCTGTAATCCCGAGAACTTTCCAAGTAGACCTCAAAAGCTCCAGGATTTCTTCCACTTCCTGATCATATAGCCCATTGTTAAATTACCCGAACAAAAATGCTATCGTGCTCTCAGAAGAAAATACATAAGCAAATGCCTTCTACAACACTTGATCAGCTAATGGAACCTATCTAAAAGGAGATCAGAATTCAACGATGTACAATTTAGAAAAGGTCTACATACCTCTGTTAGTTTTCCCTCATCTAGAACATCAAACACACTTAGAAGCAGTTTCTCATACAATCTGACATTTAGGTGATAACCATCTGCCCAGTGGCACACTTCACCAGTTAAATCACCACGAGCAGGCCTCTCCGCTAATGGAATAGAAATCTCTTTTAAAGATCTCAAACACTCTGTGCGTTGAATCTCCCCAGTGGAGGGTGGAAGCAACTGAAAAAACAGAAAACAAAATAAGAGATAATTCAAAAAAGAACCAATATACAAGGATTAATATCGAAAAGCCTAATTTAAAAGATACAGTGATTCAAGTCGCCTCATGAAATTTATAGTTAAAACAAATAAATACAGGCTAGCGCAACAGAAGCTTTCTCTTCCCATCCCCCGAAAAAGTCTGGTGTTTTAGGTTTTCTTTTGACCAAATAAAAGAGTCCCATATCTGCATGTTTACATTTGATACTTAAACTTTTACATTCAACATTGACAACATGAAATTTTACATTCACTTTTACCGCAATTAAGAAAAATGACTGTAAAGGATTTGACAGCAGTAAGCAAACCTCAGATTCTTCCATCTTTGCCAAAAGCACCCTTAACTCACTAGCTTTTCGCCCAGATTCTCCAAATCCTACGGCAGGACGGTTAACAAGTCCCTCCTCCAACATATTTAACTGAACTGACACAAAATTTGAATAAAATAAAAACCATAATGTTAAAATCAATTACTTTAAAAAATATAATGAGTCCTAAAAGCTATACAGATGCTTCATAGCTAGCTATCTATCTATCTACAGATGCCAAAAGCACCCCTAATCCACTATCTATCATTTGTTAGTATAGGCAGATAGATGGATAGACATACACACAGAGAGACAGAGACAGATGGAGAAGGAAAGGGAACGGAGAGGTGGGAGGGGAAACAGAGAAGTTTACTTGTCGTTTTTGCCACTTAATGTATGACTTCTTGTCGGAGAACTCTGTCCAAGAAATACAGGATAGCAATTCCAGTGGAATCAAAAGAGTGTCCATTCTTTTCCCGACTTTTCCAACCATTGCATTAAGAAGGCCAATTCTTGTCCTAGTGTCCATAGCCTCAGAAATCTGTCCGCCATCAAAAAGAGCAAAAAGGTTACACGTCTAATTGAATACATCAATGATCCCATCTGAAACAATATGCGTTGCAATGCATTTTTTGCTGCCAAGCACCTCTTTGCTCATGAGTAACACATGCCTGACTTGAAAACAAAGATTTAATGCTTAAAAAGAAAAAGGAAATTTAATAATAACAACGACCGGTGTTTCAAGAGTGTTCATTTGCAGGAATATAAGACCATAAAGGCTTAATATCTCATGTTTAAGTCAAAAGAGTTATACTGATAAAACATTTGAAGCCCAAAAACAAATTGATAGGAATACAAGAATTTGCATCTTCCATCAGTGACGAATAAATTTTAACTGCCTTTCATTATGATGTTAACATTTGGTTTTCTACCAATAACCAAGATAAAAAATAAGGGGCGGTGGTGGGCGGGGTTTCGCCACAAACTACATAACTTGAGGAAGTAACATAATTCTGCATCTAGCTTTAAGCATAGCATGCCTAAATAAACACTTCACAAATACATCTTTTTTCTTTTTGTAGGGTACTTCAAGTAGTGGGAATTTAGTAGGGTGTCAGCATCTGGAAAAATTGAATGACAGACGATAAATAGAAACAGTTAGGAAGTAACTTGAGCCAAGAGAGAAAGAAGACAGGGAGCTAAAGGATAGGCAGGAAAGAAGAAAGGAAAAATAAAGGTAGAAAAGCAATATCTTGGTTCAAAAAGTAATTGCTAAACCAATTTTAGGTTCAATCGGTTTACTTGAGGAAAAAGGAGCAATGTATGATAAGAAAATATCTACTAGCATGGCTGAATGAGTTAGCATTCTTCCTTATGCACAAGTTGAAGAATTCAAGGAATTCTCGCATTAAAATGTATAGAACTGACCCTTGCATGTATATATTTAAAAAGAAAGTTTGCCTAGTTATTTATGTTAAAATATTTTTACACCACTAAACTATTGCTTCAAACGGCTGGAACAAGAAAAAGAAATGCATAGTCCTTGGTTTGTGTTTCTGAATGGCTAAACAGATCGAAAGTTTGGGTAACCATAGATCTTTTTCTCCCAGACCATCCATAAGTTTATTGTATGTGCCAATATGCTTTGAGTTTTGGTTTCTATTTACTGTATTATTTTAAAATTACTTTGATCGTTCCTGTGAATTATCTAGATAAGAGAACATGCATTAGCTGATGATAAAGAACCTTATGAAACAAATAAGATCCTCTAGACATGAGAAAGTTGCAGAAGGTTTTGTGGAATACAGTCTTAATTGAGACTCTCTTACAGAGACAGCGCATTATTGGCTAGACCGAACATCCGGCTGAAACTGAACGATAAGAGTTGCAAAGCTTCATAACAGAGACTCTTAAAGGCTTCCTTTTCCAACGATTTTCTTGTTTAGTTAGTGCATTCTTTTTGTCGACATAATCAAAGTAACTCAGGTATCAGACAGAAATCCAAATGCTTAGATCTCGGACCCTATTTCACCAAGAATGTATTTCTACTTTAAAGGAATTTGCAGAGTAGCGGTAATGATATTTTAAAGACCAACAGAAACTTAACTAACATTGTGATGTGCGTGTCACAAACTATACAAGCACCCTAAAGAAAACTCCAAAAGTAATGGTTAAATTTGGTCACATACAAACATCTGAAAGTAGGAAGCCCAAGTTCTTCAATTTCATTTACGCGTTTAAAACGAAAACTAGTCAATTTCTAGAAATGATAAAGATTACATGCGGCTATGACTCTTGCATCCACTTCCTGATCAAACTCCCATATGTTTCAAGTAGAAACAAGCAGAACACTAGATATTAACATAAAGTTGAAGCATCTCTTTATTGCAAAATTGAATATTTCATCAAAGGCTTCTACAAAACAATATCTTGCACTTTAGTCATTGCGTGATATTATTCTTACACTGGCACAATTCTTCAGAAATATTTTAAGATCCACTACATTGAAGACCATAGTCCCAACTGAGCCTAAAATAGTGCTTAGTTATACATGTAAGTATACCATACGGTTGTCAATGGAAGCAAATCTCCTTTCAACACAGCTATGAAAAATCACTGTGTGCTTCATTAGACATTTCATTTATCATATTCTCAGAAATTTTTAAATCCAATGAAGTTATGCTAAGCTAAGGCTTCCCTCAATCAAAACAAAGATCTAAGGGGATTTACTAGCTGCTAAAGTCCCACAATCTATTTCTCTGAGTTATGGAATTTTTAATCAATCCAATGAGCAGAAAGAAAAAGTAGCTGAAACAATCTGCACTTACCTCCATTTGAACACGCATTGTCTCCAGAAGACCAACTAGACCAGATCCGTGTGCTGTTTGAGCAACATGTTCAGTCTTACTACGCCCCAGCTTCCTCATAATTCTGGATCTTTTATCTTTCTTCTTCTCTTTAACTGGAACAATGAGTCCCCTGCATATCAAATCAGAAAAATACATAAAGCGCAATCTAACAGACAGGATAATATCACCGAATTCAATAACTCAAAAATGAGAAGTGTTAACCCTGAGGCTCCAGCAGAAGCCAAGAGGATTTCATATGCAGTTTCACGAAGATCATCATCCATAATACCTGGTAAGAGTAGTCCACAAATTATGTTACAATCCTAAACAATAAAGCAGCATAGTACGATGGAGAATAAAGGCAAGCCAAGAACAATTTCCTCATTTTTCGCCAGAGATTATACATGCAATCAAGAACAATTTCCTCGTTTCTCGGCAGAGATTATACATGCAACCTTTTGATAAATTAGACATAAACGGGAGGGGGAAGGGGGATGTTTTAATCAATACTAAAACAGAAATTTGATAGAGAAATCCAAAGCAAAAGGAATTGGCTATGTTAGTAAACAGATCTCAGGTTCCAAAATCGACAAATTGCAGCTATCATTCTCTAAAAGCAGAGGATCAATCCTTTTAAATCTACATGCTCTAGAGCAAGATATCTCACTTTTCATTCATATATTGGAAAAATCAGTCGACAGTTTCCCTTTTCGCACAGATTAGATAAAATTTTTAGCGAATATGTTTATTTTGGACGGTTCAACTATGTTACCTGGACTCTTCAATTTGAAGAGAATACCCGTGTCGTGTTGTGTCGTGTCGACACTGGTATGGGTATGAGTGTCGGGTGTGGCATTTTAACCTAAAATGTCTAAGATTTCTAAAATATTGACGAGTCGGACACTTAGATTCCCACACCTGATACAACACCCGTATCCGAGTCCAGGTAGCATAGCGGTTCAACACTGCCCAAATTTCATCGAGAAAAAGCAATGGAAACTAGGTAAAAGATACAAAAGCATACTGATGATCTCTATCTAGTGCATTTCTAGCATGAGCAAGCATTAATAGATTATTGTTTCTTCTATACTTGTAAACTTCTAAGGCTTGTTCTCAATGGCTACAAACATTAGAACGTGGATCAGCACTGGGAAAACAAGGCCAATAAAATATTATCGATAAAACAATGTCATTAAAAATTTGCGAACACAAATGATTCACCAGTAGCAAACGAAGGCAATCCCGGTGCAAGATCCGCAGCGTCATTCAAAACCCTTCTAGAGTATCGCTGGCTATCAGCTTCTCCCAAATCATCGTCATCATCAATTTCATCAATATCATCAACAGTTAACTCTTCAGCTGGTACAGAATTAAGAGGCTGGGATTTTGATAAACCCGACAATTCATCAGCTTCAGGAGATTCCAGAGTCTCTGAATTTGACAGACTGGGCATCAATGGAGACGGTAGAATATTTGGTAGACTTGGAGGTTCCCGACGAGGAGGTGAGCCTGAAGACATTGCATCAGTAACCAAAAAGAATTCATCGGTGGAACCTGCTTTATTCTTCTTCCAGGAAAAAGAAAAATGCAGAGTAAGAATGTCATTGTAAACACATAAAAGACTTTAAGTTTCAGCAACCATATATCACAGAACTATAAGAGCTAAAATCATTAACTCAAAAAAAAAAGGGAGAGATCTCCAAGAAAGAAAAACTGACCATACTGGGGAACAAAGTACCATCATGGTAATCTCTAATAGCTTCCGAGAGTTCAAGAACTCCTCCTACATTTATACAAATTTCTTGAGTGGATATACCTTCCAGGAAAACTCAAAAAGACTACAAGAATATTTTAACTATACCTTTCTTGGCACAATTAAGAACATAATCAACACTGACTTGGTCGAGATCCACATCATCAAGAGTAACTGCCCCAGGAGGCATTACCACCTTTGAAACTAAGCTTCCAGATAGTATGAAATTTAACAACACTCGCCTGTCCCGCCTAAATCGTTGCAACACTTCAACAGCATCCTCCCTACAAGAGATGAGGAAAGCACAGCCAACTTATTAAAATGAAATCAGTGATCGAGAAAAGATTCCCCTAGTCATTTGAAGATATCCAGTAGCCACATGTGTTACAGAAATAACCTACATCAAGCCTTGTAGAAAACTCATTCACTTCCAAGAACCCCCAAATCACAACCAAAAATACATTGGGAAATCAGCAACCTCAGGCTTATGGGGGTTTACTTGGCTCAAATGTGGAGGATTTCAAAAATTCTCAACAATTTCGCATTTTCAAGTCAAAATAGACGTAAATTTAGGCATTAGGGGTACAGAATTTTTTTATAAAAAAAATGCGAAGTGTAAGTAACAGAACATACTCTTCCATATCTGAACTCTGAACTCTGTATGATTCGGAGTTGGAGTTAATAACTAGGCAGGTGAGACAACAACACTGAAATCCAAACTACAGCCAGATTTTACAATGGAAGAATCAAAACCATTTTTCGATGTGCGGAAAGGATTGAGCAAAAATAGCAGAAGTGTTCTTAATAAGCAGTAGGAAATGGGATCTATTCCGAGGAAACGGAGTTCGCATCTCTCAAAACGGGAGGAAAAAAAAATATAGAAGAAAAAAACGACACAAAACATGACCCACCCGCGAGTGACCCGTAACCGCGGATCAGCAGCTGACAATTTTTTGGGTTAATTTTAGGGTTTGTGGGTTTGATATTTTTTCTATGGGTTTCACCCTCTTTCATTCTATGGAGGCCTGGTTCGCTAGTTAGGATATAATAGAAAAGTAGTTTGAAAGTATTCCAATTTCTATGATAGTTTTAAAAGAGTATCATTGCTATATATAGTGCTTGGTAAATGAAAAATTTAGAATGAAGAATAAGACAAAATGTCCTTTCTATCCCTGAATAAGCACTCATTTCGCAATTTTCTCCGCCCTCAAATCTGATCGAAAGGGAAAAAAAAATTCCCCTTTCTTTTGCCCTCAAATCTGATCGAATTGGACAAGAAAGTTTTCACCAAAAGGAGCTTGTACACATCGAAGTCACCAACAACGTTTTGTAAGGTGTTTTACTATTTTCTATTTTCTTGATTTCTCAAATTATCCAAATTTAAGAAGATGAGAGCTTGAAATTTTTCTATTAAAAGATGGTTAAAATTAACCACCAACGAAAGAACGAAGAGAGAAGATAGAAAGTGAGGATCAGAAGGTTAGAAGAGTTTGCATTTTCTGGGCAAGAACTTCTGTGGATCTGGATATATATGAAGGTGGAGATGGAGACGGAGCAAAATTCATGTGAAAGACAAAAGAGAAGAAGGTTAAGTGGGATTCTTCTTTCCTTGTGCATATCTACCTAATTTGAGAGGAATGAGACTATGGGTTTGAATGACAAGTTTGTTGGTCCTTACCATTCCCAAAACTTGAACCAAGCACCTCAATTTAAAGAATTGGGAATGAAATCTATAATTTTGGTTTGAAACCCATGAACCAAACACCTCCTAAATACGTGTGCCTGGTTCAGTTTTAGGGGCCCATTTCTTTTCTTCCTTAGGCCAACTTTCATTCCACACTAAATAGATAGGTTTGACTTGGCTTTGGCATAATTGAACAACAATATTTCATTTTTTATTTTCTTGCCTTCATCTACCCTTCTTCTCTCTCTCCTATCCACACACAGCAGACTCTAGAGGCATTTCTTTTCTAATGAAACTCTTCTCTTCTTTTCATTTTTCTCTAAGAATGAAATTTCATTATCAACCATGGCCACCATCAACGTCACAAATTCCAGTTATGCTTCTCTCTCTTTTTTCTAAAATTTATTTCTCAAGAAAATAACTTCTAAAATCAATTAAAATCAATTCAAAGATATAATTGCTAAGTAACTTCGCTTCTTATTAGTTGACATAATTATGCTCATTCTATTCCATTGCTAATCTGGTCATATATATCGGAGCCTCTCTATTCTTGATTGAATTACTAGATATTTGTTCTAGATTTTTTTTTTTACTTGAAGAATCGATTTGAAATATCATAAGCATTTGTTGTGAGGGTAGACTTCCGAGTCCTGAAAATTTGGTCCCTCGAAAATTTTTTCCTACTAAAGGGAGGGTTAGGGAGGGTGGTGGTGTAAACAAAAGTGGTGGTTCCTACTAAAAGGAGGGTTAGGGAGAGCAGTGTTGTAAACAGCGGTGGTGAGTAGGTAGTGATCTTTGTTTGAGATTGGGGATAAAGATATAATTTTGAGTCAATTCTAAATTCAAAAAACATGTGAACCAAATAGTTGAATGAAGTTTTGATACCCAATCCCAAACCATTGGTCTATGATTCCCTCCTGACTATCACATCTATTTAGTTGAACCAGGCACCTCCTTACATTTTCTCCATGGATTTGGTTTACCCTCAGAAATACTACAAAAAGATATCTGTCATGATTCGAAGTTTAATTGGAAATTTCAGTAGTTAAAGGAATAAATAAAACTGGACATTAAGTACAATTCAGACAATTATTGGTTTGGCACTTAATTCTAGTTTTACTTTTGTTTTTTATTGTTGGCCTGCACGAGTTGTGTTACCCTGCCAATTGCGTAATATATTTGAGAAATTGATACAGTTAATATGAAATTGTGTAATCTATATGAATTTATATTTTGGATAAGAGAAACGTACATTTAAGAAAATCAAACAAATTGTAATTGAATCCCTACATTCAATTTAAATTCTAGTAAAATAAACAAACTAATCAACTCAAATAAAATTCAAATTCATCAATAAAAATTAAATAACAAAGCTAAAAACTAAAAATTGAGTTGCCTCCCAATAAGCACTCCTTTAAAGTCATTGAGTTCAACACTTGTCAAATTAATTCTGAAGAAGAACAATGTCGTAGAAAATGCAATTCACTCCTTTCAAAAAATGGACTCCAACCTTGCCGTGCTTTGATCTTTTCATGTCCAATTTCAAACTCTGAGTAAAAGAAAGGAGTTTTAATTTCTAACTGTGAAAGTTTTTCATTAGAAGGTAAGAGATCATCTAGACTCTAACTTTTCCATTCATTAGGACAGCTAGAAACCATACATATGCGTTTATGGAGCCATAGGCATGTGTTTGTTCACTCCGTTTGGGCTTGAAATCATTCATTATATATCAAGTTGGCGTGGGGCTGGGGCCTGGCCAGTGCTTATCTTAGCCGGTAAGACCAGCAAACAGACGAGCAAGGAAACCAGTAGGAATCCAAACCACCACCCCTGTGATACCATTCATCCGGAGCTATGCCTTGTCGGCCACTACAGGATCAAAATCTCTATCCATCCTTAATTAAAATATCAATAATCGAGATGCATGGAAAAGTTTCACCCAACTCTCAAGCACATCTGGAATCCACAACTTATTGTGCATCATCCGCCTCTTTTTCCCTAAAACAATTCATCATAGCGGGTACTTTTCCACCCAATGCACTTATTGTTGAGTTTTCCGATTGAACTCGGGATTGGAACCAATCTCAAATCATCGTATTTTAATTAAAAGAGAAGAAGGAGATAGAGCTTCCATGTATAATTTATGTAAACAAAAGCCAAATGTTTGATTCGGACAAAGGATTTACTCGGACATTGTCCGAGTACTTCAAACTATAACTTAAAACAAACTCAAAGAAAATATTACCTTTAAAGGTTTCTTCAATGCTTCAAACTTGAAAGATATATTTTCTAAATGATGTTTTACAAGGGAGAGAGAGAATTTCGGGATAAAGGGAGAAGAAATGAGAGAATGCTTGGAGGGAATGATCCTCCACAAGAACTTCTACATTCTATTTATAGACAAAGTGCCTAACTACTATTCTACAAAAGTTAAAACTACTATTGTACAAAATTATTAACTTTTGTCATTATTTGACATGGTTTTCTTGATTTGACTGAAGGTGGTGGTCTATTTGTACAAAATTTCAAAAGTAGATTCCTACTTTTGTCAAAATTTCAAAAGTAGATTCCTACTTTTGTCACTTCATTCTTTTCTTTTCCTTTTCTTGATTGAGTGATTCTTGGATCTGTTTAATGCATTTTTGATGAATTCATCGTGATCGTCATCTTTTACGGTGATTGAGATTCTCCGGCCAATATTGCAAACGAATTTTCTTCATTTGAAGTTATGCTCTTCATCGAAACATCGATTTTTCGAAATATTATCATTGTCGAGATTCTTTAAATTTCTCATGAGATCTGCTTTAACTTCTTTCATATAGGCAGATATTATTTCTTCCTTATTAATTGCTCCTTGCTGAAGCTGAATTCGTTTTGTGATATGTTTAAACGGACTTTCTTCATCTGGGTTTGCTTTGAGCTGTCCTTTTTCTTGAGTATATTCCTTGATTTTCTGGGCAATTTCGTCCAGCAAATCTTGTCCTTCTATTCTTTTGGTATTGTGATTCACCTTTGTTAATTTGTCCCAAAATTTGGTGTAATATGTCTTATAAAGACACGGAATTTGAAATTCATTGAATCCCACCTCAGGGACCCATTTATAAATCCAAGGAATTGAGAATTCAATAAAGAAGTATAACAGAGTGATTTTCCCTGGAGCACAGATATGACTGTGTTGAAGTTTATCAATGATAGGAGAGGATTTTAACCATTGATAATATAATTTCGAAAAATTATCTGGCAAAATTTTTGCTGTTGGGCCATATAATGCCCACCACTGAATAAACCAGTTGGGTATGGGAGAAGAATATACATGGGAGCATATTTTTATGAACCAAGTATGCTTTTTCCTGGGGTTTTCATAATAAAAAGTTTTGTAAAAACTTTGGATATAATCCCAGTAAGTAAATTTCAAAGGAGGAGAAGTAGGAGTATTACGTACTTCTCTTTCGAGAAAGGGTTGAAATTCCCATTCTTCAAAAGATAAAATCTTTTGATAATAATTTTGAGAAGTTATAAACTTGATTGTAGTCGATTAGACCGAAAATGTGTTATTTCACATGTTTGTTTGAGAATATTCTCATAATAATTTCGGGTTTGTATGACTCACCCGTATCGTTACCCTTTCGCTAGATATCTCCGGAATATTACCCATGGATCATCTTTCCACTGAATATCGCGTTTTCAAGAAGGAATATTACCTCCTTTGTGGATCCTTTTTCATATGACCGGATATCATCCCAGTCGGTATCACTTACTTTGGCAAAGAAAGGTATCACTTTGTTGCTCTTGGATTTGGTCCATAATCGCTTATATAATGCGAATCTTTCGAATAAAATCCATTATTTGGACCAATTTCGCATTTGATGAGGAGGATTCCTCCCGAGATTTTGAAAATCAGCAGCTATTAGCTTTTTATTCCCATGTTGTATTACGGGGTTTATTGTTCTTCCTCCA